TGCAGTGGCTCAAGCCTAAAATGCCAGCACTTTGCCAGGCTGAGGTGGGCGGATTGCCTGAGCATGAGTTTGAGACCAGCCTGAGCTAGAGTGAGACCCCATCTCTAAAAATAGCCGGGTGTTGTGGCGGGTACCTGTAGTTCCAGCTACTCTGGAGGCTGAGGCAAGAGAATCACTTAAGCCCAAGAGGTAGAGGTTGCTGTGAGATATGCCAAGGGACTCTATAAGGTGTGACAAAGTGAGACTCTGTCTAAAAAGAAAAAAAAGAAAACAGGCTGAGGAAGGCATTCCCGCAGCCCCTTAGCTAAGCACACTACCCTCTCCCAGTTTCCTGTTGCAAAGACACCTGGACCTCCTAAGCATCCCCCCAAAAGACACTTGGACCCCCTAAACACCCCCTATTCCCAAACTTCCATTCCCACTCCTAGTGTGCTCCCTGGTCCAACAGCACTGGCATCCTTCAGGAAACTCGGTACAAATGAACATTCCAAGTTCTACCCTCATCTGCTCCATTACTCTCAGGGTGGGGCCCAGGGATCTGGGTTTTAACATGTCCTGCAGGTGATTCCCATGCAGACTCAAGTTGAAAATCGCTGGTCTAATATCATTTTAGGCTCTTGTCAAAGGCCCAGTCTCTGGCTTTGAGCTCAGCTCTGTGAGGACCCACCTGACAGTCTTGGTAGCCTCCCGCTCCCCTCCCTGCACAGGCCTGACATCTTGGAGGCCTCCACACAGGCTCTGATTGGCTTCTCTCCTTCTTAGACTCAGGCCAGGCAGGGGTCACCTGGTGAATTGGAGGCTCCTATCCTTTGCTCCCATCCAGTGAGCCCCCACCCAGGGCCCCCACTGCTCCATCCACTCACGAGACTCTTCTTCTCAGAGTGCCTAGCGTGGGTTCTCAGCTCCTGAAATGTATGGAGAAAAGGCATAACCGGCATCCTGCTCACAGACTTCCTGCCCCTGGCACCTTCTGCGGTGGAGGCTGTGGGACTGGGAGCTCTCTGAGTACGTGCAGAAAGGCCGTTTCCACCATGGGAATGCAGCCAGGGGCCCAGGGACAAATGTTACTGCCTCTTTCTTCAGAAAAATGCCTGAGGGCCCCGCTTATCTGGAGCACTTTTTTGGTTTGTTTAGTAATAAGTCGTCCTCAGAGAGGGCTAGGGGAGGAGCCATGACAGGATTGGAAACACGGGCTGAGAAGGGCCAGAGAAGTAAAGGATTTGGCTGGAAAAGCAGCACCTTAGGAGGGCTGCTGTGGCAGGTTGTGTAGGATGTTCACTGCACAAGAGTGTCAGTGGTGGGGGCAAAGGAGAGATGGGATCCAGGGGCTGGGCTGTATCCTCTCTTAAGCCTGATGCCCAACTTCTGTGATATGTTTACAATTGGGGAGGGGCTATTCTTTTTCTTAGTCTAGAGAGTAGGGGCTGGGATGTGCAAAAGGAGTACCTTTTAAAATTCATGTTTTATTGCTGTGAAGTTACTTGCCCAAGGCCACATAGCTAGGGAGTGGCAGAGCAAATCCACAGGTCTCTGGGCTTAACCGCTGCACCACCCTGCCTGCATGGTCTTGTCCCTGGGACTGTGGTTTGGAAAAGGGGGTCAGGTGGGGAAGAGAGTGCTTTCCCCAAGGGGGAATGGAAACTTCTGCTCATTCTCCAGTGAGAGCTGCAGACATTTATCTTTGAAAGTTGGAGCTCTCCCATGTAAAGGAAAGGAGAAATAGTATCTTCATCACAGAGTCATAACATTTTATTTATTTTCTACTCACTAGGAGAGAGGTTATTAAGTGTCAGGCTTTGGGGGAAGCCAATGTCTACATGGAAGGTTCCTGCAGAGTCGATCCCACGGGAGGTGTCCTTACCCCATTTGGGATACTGAGTTCTTAGCATATTTTAATGAGTGTTGACTGGGTGCGGAGATGCTGAGCTTGAGGGAATATTCTCTGATTGGAGGGACCTTTGTTGATAAAGGAGAGTAAGGACCTAGGGAAGGCAGGTGTAGAGATCCAATCCTCTCTTATCCTAGGGCTTTGAGTCTAATTTAAGGAAAAGCTGTACATTAAAAAAAAGCTGTATAGCCCTCCCCGGCAGCCTACCCCATTTATCCCCCAGAGGGAGAGAAGCTGATTTTTATAAGCACTTACTGTGTACTTTGTATAACCTACCTCATTCGACCCTTGCCACACCTGTGAGCAGATGATAAGACTAGGGCTCAGCAATGGAAGAGACTGGCCCCCAGCCCGTGTTCTCCCCACTGCCCCACCCTGCTTTCCTGCTGGGGAGCCCCCAGGGTCCCTCATGGACAGGTCTCCTCACTGCCCAGGTTCCTCAGAAGAACTAGACAGATTTATTCTCCAAGGATTATGGTGTCAGAAAAGGGAAGCCTAAGGATAGTGGACAGATGGACAAGGTGTCCTCTTCCTCATGCACTTCCCCTATCCACTGGTCACTCTCAAGAGCATAGCCCTCCCGGCCCACGTGGGTTCACACTTCCTTGCACACACCGATTTCCCCATGTGCGCTGGCACTGCCCCCGGGGCTTCTGCAGTCTCTTTCTGTATGGGGGAGGAGCTGGGGCTGCCAGTATTGATGGAGATTTATGATACTTGAACAACAGTGTGGCAACTCCTGCTCTAGCTGTCCCCGCCTCCGTGCACCCCACCCCTAAACACACACACACATGCTCCGGGGTTGATAGCTATTTCCTCTCTCAGCTTGACTCCCTCTCCTGCTCCGGGCTTCTTGTCTAGCAGATGACAGCAGTTGACCTCCTCCAGGGCTGGAATCCTGTGCTCCCTCAGTGCCCAGGTAAGGAGGCTTGGGGCCTTGGTGTCCTTAGTGTCCTCTCTGGACTCACAGGAGAAGGCACTGTTTTACTAGACCAGAGGGCCGTTACAGCTAGGATGGCAGAGGTTGAGGCTACCAAGGACTGGAGGGCACTTGATGCTCAGAGAGGGAGGCGCTAATTGTCTTTAGGCATTGACCAGACACCAGGCACAATCTCCAGGCACAACTGCAAACCTCTTGACCACTTCATTCCATGTCCAAAAGCAGTCTGGGTGGGACGATTATATCAGCAGGCTTGGGGTAACCAACCCAAGTCCACCCAACCAGGAAGCCAAGAAGCTGGGATTCAAACCCAGGTCTAAGACCCTCAAAGCTTGCACTCTCTGTCCCCCAATGCCCTGCCAAAGCTGGATCCTAGCAGCTGGGCTCCCTGGGAGCTGTCACCATGCAGACAAAGGGACCGATCTGGATGATTTTCAAGGGTGGAGCAGGACTGTGCTCTCTGAGCCTTCCTGTGGGATGTGGATAGCAGCTGCTGGACTGATGGGAATGTTTTAGAGCAACAAGGGGTGGCACTCGACTGTGTGCTGCGAGTGGAGCCTCAGCCCTACTGCTGCAAGCTGAGGAATACTGGGCAAGTTGTTATGCTTCTCTAAACCTCAGTTTCCTCTTTTGAAGAATGGGGGTCTCATAGCTTTATTGCAAAAGTAATTGCCCTGCAAACTCTAAAGCTTAGGAAGTATGACCATTCTTAGCGGGCACAGGCTCCCCTCCCACCTCTCTGCAGATCCCGAGCCCCGAGGAGCTCCTCTGCCCAGGAGATTCTAGTTTGATATCCCAGGACCACTTCCCCACCCCCAGAAAGGCCATGGTCCCTGGAAGGGAATGGATTTTCTTGTCCTGGCCCACAGTTTCCCCTGGAAGGATGCCATCACTCCCCTCCTCCTTTCGTCTTCCTCCTCCCTTGCCTGGTGGTTAGGGCAGGGCAGAGGAAAGGGCTCAGGCTGCATGCTGGATGGTTGCTCGTCCACATGTCTGTGTTACCTGTGTGCTGGGGGCCAGCTCTCTAAACACTCCAGGCTCAGTTTCCTCATCTATAAAATGGGATGGAGAGGAGAACTAGTGCCTTTCTCCCAGAGAAAGACAGTACCTAAGTGAAGGACCTCCCCCAGCACCTACCACGTCGTGGGGGTCCGGGACAACCTGAGTCCCTACCCCTAATATCTGCCCCCAACTCCTGTGGGGAGCCTCCTGTCCCAATTTCCTCAGCCCTCATATATCTCAACCAGACTCATGTCAGATGTTCTCTAGGGTTTCTGTCGAGGCTGTGAGCAGGCACATCTGGGGGGGCTGCATGTCTGCCAGAGCCTGGCTTCTCCAGCACCTACCTGAGTTGTTTCTCAACAAGCATTTGTTGAACAAGATGAGCTAGTGAAGAAGTGAATGACCAGGGGTGGGTTTCTTGGGGCAGATAGTGCTGTGTGACAGCCCCTGGGAGGGGAGAGTTCCTCCTGCCCAGCTCTTATCTTATTTCCTCTTCAACTATCAGAGGATGACCTGGCTCCACTGTTCGTGGTCAACACATTTCACCAGCCACCGTCGGAGTGAAGGGTTATAGGGAGGATCTGCAGAGGGGCAAGGTGGAGGGTGAGAAGGGTGGGAAGGGGCAGCATCGACTCCCCTCTGATCCCCACCTCCACAGGCCAGCAGAACCCTCCTGCCTTATTGGCCACAATCATGCCCAAGTGCTTAGGGGATTGGGAAAAGGAGTCCTGTGTGGCCTGACCTTGTTCCTATTTTCCATGTGATCTTAGACCACTTGCTTCACCGTCATCACCGTGATCGTGATGACAGTGAAGCAAGCGCTGGCTGTGTGCCCTGCTCTGAATGCTTTCACTTATTAACTAACTCCTTTAGTTCTCCCAGTAACTTTCTGAGTTAGGTACTTTTATGACCCACACCCATGTTACAAAGGAGGAAAAGGCTCAGGAAGGTTAAATGACTTGCCTAAGGTTGCACAGCAAGCATATGGGGGAGCTGGGATGTTGTACCCCCTACTTTGCCACCTTCGTTCAACCTCACTGATCCCCAGCAGCCTGCTCTATCACACTCATGGGTCATACCGGATTCTCCTGGCCAGGTTCCTGCTCCAGGCTTCTCTCTGGGTTCCCTCGTGGCTTCCATACTACCAACCTTAAAGCCTCCTTCCCTTCACCACAGAGCCCGGCAATGTCAGCCAACGTCACGCTGAAGCCACTCTGCCCCATCCTGGAGCAGATGAGCCGCCTGCAGAGCCACAGCAATTCCAGCATCCGCTATATAGACCATGCAGCGGTGCTGGTGCACGGGCTGGCTTCACTGCTGGGCGTGGTGGAGAACGGCCTCATCCTCTTCGTGGTGGGCTTCCGCATGCCCCAGACTGTGGTTACCACCTGGGTGTTGCACTTGGCGCTGTCTGACCTATTGGCCACTGCCTCCCTGCCTTTCTTCACCTACTTCCTGGCCGTGGGCCACTCGTGGGAGCTGGGCACCACCTTCTGCAAACTTCACTCCTCCATCTTCTTCCTCAACATGTTTGCCAGCGGCTTCCTGCTCAGCGCCATCAGCCTGGACCGCTGTCTGCAGGTAGTGCGGCCAGTGTGGGCACAGAATCACCGCACGGTGGCGGCGGCGCACAGAGTCTGCGGGGCGCTCTGGGCACTGGCTGTGCTTAACACTGTACCCTATTTCGTGTTCCGGGACACCATTCCTCGGGTGGACGGGCGCATCATGTGCTACTACAACGTTCTGCTCCTGTACACCGGGCCCGACCGCGACGCCACGTGCAACTACCGCCAGGCGGCCCTGGCCGTTAGCAAGTTCCTGCTGGCCTTCCTGGTGCCACTGGTGATCATCGCCTCAAGCCATGTGGCCGTGAGCTTGCAGTTGCGCCACCGCGGCCGCCGGCGGCCAGGCCGTTTTGTGCGCTTGGTGGCGGCCGTGGTGGCGGCCTTCGCGCTCTGCTGGGGACCCTACCACGTGTTCAGCCTGCTGGAGGCGCGGGCGCACCACGACAAGGCGCTGCGGCCGCTGGTGTGGCGCGGGCTGCCTTTCGTCACCAGCCTGGCCTTCATCAACAGCGTGGTTAACCCGCTGCTCTACGTGCTCACCTGCCCAGACGTGCTAAGCAAGCTGCGGCGCTCGCTGCGCGCTGTGCTCGAGAGCGTGCTGGTGGACGACAGCGAGCTGGGCCTCGGGGGCAGCAGCCGCCGACGCCGCGCCTCCTCCTCCTCGTCGCTGGGCAGCCGCCACCAGACGCTGCTGCGCCCCGCGCGCCTTCTGAGCTGGCTACCGGGTGGCCGCGCTGCTTCCCAGAGGGGCCGGGCCCCATCCCAGGACGAGAGTGGCCCCCTGAGTCGGGCGCTGAGCAACACCTCGGGATAGAAGGTGCTGGCCAGGATCCAGGGCCTGGGCAGGGCAGTGGTAGAGCAGGAAAGCACTGTGAGGGCACCGCCGTTAAATTGTAGATACCCTGACTCCACCCTGAGATTACAGGCCTCGGGGCAGGACCTAGGCATGTGGATTTCAAAGCACCCGCGGTGATTCAATGACTCTTTTTCAGAAATAAAGTGAATTAAGGTAGTGCTTCCCAAACTGTGCTGGGCCCATGGGTCACCTGGGGACCTCTTTAAAGGGCAGTCTGATTCAGGACACGAGTGGGGTGCTGAGAGGCTGCACTTCTGATGAGCTCTCTGGCCACCGAGCCAGTGCTGCTGCTTGGCAGACCACACTTGGGAGTGATACGAAGGAAAAATCTCACATTAGGGTAGGGGAGGCCGGAGGACAAATCTCCCTGAAGCTCAATTTTGCAGAAGATGAGGGTTGGGGAGAGATTTTTACATTAGACCAGTGATGTATTTTTGGAATGGAAGTGAAAGAGGAAAGGTTGGAGAAGTATTGTTCTAGTCTCTCCTTTAGCCACTTTTATTTCATTTTTTGAGACAGTCTCACCATGTAGCCTCTGTAGAGTGCTGTAGCGTCACAGCTCACTGCAACCTCATCTAGGGCTTAAGCAACTCTCTTGCCTCAGCCTCCTAAGTAGCTGGGACCACTGGCGCCCACCACAACACAACGCCTGGCCATTTTTTGTTGCAGTTGTCATTGTTGGTTAGCTGACCTGGGCGGGTTCAAACCCGCCAGCCTTGGTGCATGTGGCTGTTGCCGTAACCACTGGGCTAAGGGCGCTGAGTCTCTCCTTTAGCCATTTAGTTGGTGTTTCTGGAACTAGATGCTTATCCAATGTCCTTAAGAAGCAGCCTCTACTAGCCAGCCTTTACAGATGAGCAAACTCAGGCTCAGGGAGGTTAAGTAACTTGCCTAAAGCTTCAGGGCCCGTTGCATCAGGGTCTGTATTAAGTGTCACATGTTCAATTACTGTCTAGTAGGTGAAAGAACATTCTTTGACCCACCCAAGGGACTTCAGATAGTAGCTGCCTTGGACCCTTGGGACCCAGCACTGCCCAAAGTGTTTGTAAGATGGAAAAAGCAGGTGTCATAGTCAAGTGTTGGGGGAACCTGGGTCCAATAAGCATCACTGCTAAAGGTCTTCTGTCTTTAGAATATGAATGTCCATGAAAGCTGGCCTGGGGGGGGGGGGTCTGTGAGACCCTCTGAAAACCGATAATCCCAGGATCTTTGCAGCACCAACCTCCTGACTGCTACCACTTCTCATTTGCAGATGAGGGGTGACTTGTATCTCTGTTCTTTTTTTTTTTTTTTTTGAGACAGAGCCTCAAGCTATCCCCCTGGGTAGAGGGCCGTGGCATTTTAGCTCACAGCAACCTCCAACTCCTGGGCTCAAGCGAGTCTCCTGCCTCCGCCTCCCAAGTAGCTGGGACCACAGGCGCCCGCCACAACGCCCGGCTATTTTTTGGTTGCAGCCGTCATTGTTGTTTGGTGGGTCCGGGCTGGGGATTCGAACCCACCACCTTAGGTGTACGTGGCTGGCGCCTTAGCCGATTGAGCTATAGGCGCCGAGCCGTATCTCTGTTCTAACACTTCCATGGCACCATGTCTATTTCCTCTATCCACCATGGACTTGGGAGGCAGAGACTGCTGTTGTTTAGTTCCATATCTCAGGGATTGCCACATTTGCTTGGTGGCTAAAATGTTAGTGAAGAGCTAAGATGAGACACTCTCTTGGGATCTTGACCCAGGGCCTCTGATGCTCCTGAAGACTGGGCTGGCCAGCTCACCATTTATTTCCAGTGTAAGGTAGGGTCCAAGCTGCAGCAGGTATTCAGCAAACTGAACAGTGAGATGCACAGCTGGGTGAATTCACCCCATCTTGACACCTCTCCATGCTTTCTGCTCTACTCACACACTTTCCCCAGGTGCCACACAGTGTATTTTACTTGTTTATTATGTTCTGTCAGAATGAAAGCCCTCCAGGGCAGGGACATTTGTCTGTATTCCCTGGTGCCTATTATTGTGCCTGTACACAACAGGGATTCAATAAATATTTTCGTTGGAGACCGGATGGGTATGAATTAGATCTTTCGGGCTTCTACAGAATCTAGTTTGGGAAAGGGGGTGCTAGAGAGAAACCCTACTCCTGTCAATCTCCCAATTTAATCCTTCAGTGTTGAACATGGGGAAGAGCTGGATTTAGTTTGCTAGGTGACAGGGACAGTGGGGCTCAGAGGTGCCCCTTTAGAAAGTGTGTGGGGAGCTGGAATCCTGACTGCTGGCCTCTATCGCCAGCTCAATGACAAACCAGAGAATTTGCTGTTCTTTATCTGAAGGCACTCAGAGGAAGGGGAGAGAGGGAGGGGGGCTGAGCCTCTCCCCTCCTCCACCTCTGCCAGGTCTCAAGGTTTCCTTTGGGTCTCTGTCCCAGACACTTATCTACAAGCCTCCAAAGACCTAGGAGCTCCAGCTGGGGTGGTGTCCCTGTTTTAGAGTCACAGAGTTAGAGAGCCAGGTCTGCCAGAGGTGTCTGACCAGTGGGCTCAGAGTGTCATGTCCCACATGGTTGTTGGCCATGGAAGGCCTCTGGGCTGTCCTGAGCTCAGATCTTGGCTGCTGGCTGCTGGGGCGGCTGCTTCTGCAGTAAGGCCAGGGTGTCCCGCTTCTCAATGGAGCGTAGCTGCTTCTTCTTTGCCCGCTTGAGCTTGGCAGGGTTTCGGATCTGGGAGTGGTGCAGGGGGAGGGCATTAGTGTGGTTGGAGCCTCCATCCTTGTTCCCTGGGGAGAAGATCACCACCCCAGAGGGCTGCCCCACAGGGGCCTGGGATCACAGAGTGAGAGCAAGGCATATGGGCAGGGGAGTGAGGGGAAGATGAGATACTCACCACTTGGACAATCTCAGCCTTCCGCTCATTCTCTAGGCGGCGTTTCAGGTTCTCAGCTCGGCACTGTTTTTTCTCCTGAACATGCAGGGGAAGGGATTTGAGTCTGGGAGCTGAGGCAGAGCTGATCTCTCAGGCCCAGAAGAGTGAGAGCTGGCAGAATTCCCAGGAGGAAGGGGGAAAGGGCCTCTTGTTCAGACTCCAGGCTGTGCCTTGTGGGATGTGGTGGAAGACTGGGGAACTTGGGGGCAGGCCAGTGAGAGCAATCCTGTGTTCACATGCCCAGTGCGCAGAGTATCACTGTGGTGGGAAGTTCCTTGCAGTACATTAGAAGGTGGGGGTACAGGCAGCTAAGGACAGAGGGTTAGACAGGAGCCTGTGTGGGCCCCACCTGGAAATTCATGCACATGTAGGCAGTGGTCCCTGCACACCACCCTCCTTATCAGTTGCTGAGGAGGTGTGAAGGGGTGTGCTGGCCCCTCCTTCATTCCTCTGTCTCAGAGTCTCCCTCTTTCCCCAGAAGTTCTGATGCTCCAGAATCCAAGGGCAAGGGTGAGGCCTTAGAAGGGGCTGAGCTGCAGGGAAGAGACTCTGGGACTATCTGGCCTGGGTTCAAACCTTGACTTTGTTCCCTCCTAAACAGTTTACTTTGGCTAAGTCTCTGAGTCTCAACATCCCCATTTTTATTTATTTTCTAAATTTTTTCGTCAAGCAGGCCTGGTCAGGTTTGAACCCACCACCCCCAGTGTACAGGGCCCGTGCTCTAACCACTGAGTATGGGTGCCCAGCCTCAACTTCCATTTTTAAAGTGCCAGGTATCAACACCTCCTAACACTGTTTTGAGGAGTCAGTGACTGATACACATGCAGGGCTTAGAACAGTATCTGGCTCTTTGGGAACACTTGGAATCTAGGGGAGTCTATTGCAGGAATGGGAGTTGGTGGCCTTACTGACTGTCCCTGGCAGGACATGGTGAAAATGTTGGCTGCAGGACTGCTGCTTGGTTAAAGGTTTTGGCAGCCTGGGATAGCTGTGGGGGCCTCACCTTTGGGGAGAAAGAAGAAGTAAGACTTAGGCTCCTGTGTTAGGGGAGGGTCTAGGCAGGGGCACCTCCCTGGTGGATGGTGAGAAGTGAGAAGACAGTTCTGTTTTGCCCAAGAGGGACCCAGAGCCACACAGGAAGTGAGATAAGGCCTCAGCATACGGTGGCAGCCACACTCTCCCTAGGACCTCAGCTACTGGTGATTTAAAACAGGGGATGGATGCCAGAATGACCAGCCTATCCCTTTTCTCAGTAGCCAAGCTGGGAACACAGGCCAGGGATGAGTTGTTTGACTCCGATGCAGTGCTCCTGGGGCCCTGGGGTCATCAGTTAAGTAATATACTATTAATTATTGACCAATGCCATCATTTTATTTTTCGAGACAGAATCTTACTCTGTTGCCTGGACTAGAGTTGTGTGGCCCCAGCCTAGCTCACAGCAACCTCAAACTCCTGGGCTCAAGTGATCCTCCTGCTTCAGCCTCTTGAGTAGCTGGGACTACACCATGATGTTCAGCTAATTTTTATATTTTTAGTAGAGATGGGGTCTCACTCTTGCTCAGGCTGGTGTGGAACTCCTGAGCTCAAGGGATCCTTTTGACTTGGCCTCCTGGGATTGACCTATGCCTGCTGGGATTACAGGCATAAACCACCCACCTCGGCCTCCCAGAATGCTAGGATTACAGGTGCAAGCCACCCAACCCCAGTGCCATCATCATCTTGCTTCCTCTGCGTGTTGCCTGCTGAGCACCCTGTTCCCTCCCACTGAAGAGAGTCCTTGTTTAAGTGGTAAAACTATGACCCTTTACAAGGGCTCCCTGAGAATGGAGAAATTGGGTGTGAACCTCTAATGAGGAATTTCTGGCTCTGGGATGGGCCATGGGAGAGAAGTGGAGAAAAGCTGTGGGGCTGCTGCTAGGAGAGTGACAGCCAGTGACAATACTGGGGATGAGGTTTTCCGGTCTGCAAGCCCTGCCCACCTGGGCAGAGACCATGACCACATCTTACTGAATACCCACCTGGGTCTTCTTTTCATTCCCAAGCCTCTTAGAGAGGCCCATGCTAAACTGGATGGTTCTCTGGACTTCCCTGAGTTGTGTTCTCACGGCACCCAGTTCTGGCCAGGCTCCCTTCCTTCCTGGGTCCCTCAGGCTCCAGATGTTTCTTGACCAAGTCATTCCCCCACCTCCAGCACTTGTGTGAGCTCCCCCTACCAAGAGGCCTCAGCCTGCCTGCCCCCTTACCTGCCGGCGCCTTTGCTTTTCCTCCTCCAAGTGCCGGGCAAAGTCCTTGGCCAGCTTCCTCTCCTGCCGTTCCTTCATCTTCCGCTGCCAGGATGTGTGCAGGGGCTTGTCCTGAACCATCTGGGAAAACCTGGGTAGGAGAAAAGGGTCTGCAGTCACCTTTCAGCTCTTGGCTCAGGACCTTCTTCCTGAGAGCAGTCACATCCCTGCCCTGCTTGCCTGGCAGGAACCTCCAGGTGGATCCCTGAGGGTCCTGCCTGGTGGATCTCAGAGCAGTAAGGGACCCTGGTCATGCTGCTACCACTTCTGAAGCCCTGGCTATGTACCTCTGAGGGGGGTGCTCTTGTTTTCTCCATTTTACAAAAACCAAGGCACAGATAAGCTGAAAAACTGCTCAAGGTCACCTTGTTCCTGAGTAGCAATTAGGACTTAAACCTCTGTTAATGGCAGAGTCCAGGCCACACAGCATCTGCTGTAAAATTCTGCTACCCCTGCCAAGCACAGCTGCCTGGGTGTGAATGCCTCTGGAGATGGGTGCCCTTGCCCTATGGAGGTGGCCTGTTCCATTTCATGGTGGCCTGACTGGTTGGAGCTCTGTGTAATGATGCAGCATCTGTCACCCTGAGTGGGGCGGTGACTATGGAATGGGGATTCAGGGCCATCCAGGAAGTCTGGAGTTTCTTAAGAGTGACAATGATTGTACAGTCACAGAAGAAATGAGATGGTCTCTGTAAGAATGCACAATGCAAAGATTTGTGTGTGTGTGTGAGAGAGATTTATGATGTCTTTAAAATATTCTAGGATAAAAAAAGAGAAAAAATGTTCAGGACCAAAGATGAAGCTGTGATGGGCACATGGGGGTTCATGAAGCTCTGCTCTCTTTTCTGCATCCTTGAAAATTTTCTTAATAAAAAGAAAAGCAAAATGAAAACAAGTCTCCTGGTAGCCTCGACATACACACTTAGGTCTTTCTCCTTTAATGATCCAAGGCCTGTTTGGGTCCCATGCTCCAGCTAGCCTCTGACCCCATTGACTCCCACCCCTTTCCCCAAGGCCCTCTTGCTGAAGCCCTGACCTCTCATGCCTGAAGAATGGGCCTGTTGCATGGACTTCCTCCCTGCTCTTGAGGCTGGGCCTCCCAACCTGGGGTATGAGAACCCTGAATGGACAAGGTGGTGGGAGCTTGGGGGTACACAAAGCCACAGGACACGACACCACAGTATTGTAGAGTAGGGCCGTCATACAGAGCGTGATGGTGAAGGTGGTGTACACTGGCACTGTCCAGTAAGGTAGTCACTGGTTACAGGTGGCTGTTGAATGCTCGGAAGGTGGTTGGTGTTTAAAGAAAATTGAATCTTAAGTTTCATAGAATTTTAATTACATTCACACAGCCGCAGGCTGGTGGCCTTAGCCGAAGCAGTGCAGCTCCAGGGCAGACGTTCTACCTGGGGATTGAAGACAGGCCTGGGCTCCCAGTCCCAAACTCCCCACATACTACCCTGGTGACCTTGGGCAAGGGAGCCTCCAAATCTCAGCCCCCTAGCATGTGGAGATGAGAATCATTCCCATCTCAAAGGGTGCGAAGGACTCACTGACACATACAACAGGTGCTCAATAAATGTGAATCATCAGCCCAGTGAGCAGAGAGATGGTACATCTGAGGGCACCATGGAGAAGGTGGCATTTGGCATGAGCCAAGGAGAAGGGCTGCAGCCAGGTCACCCTGCCTTGTACACCTTCCTGGTGTAGTGGCCTCTCTTTTGCAGCATGGGCTGCTTCAACCTGTCTCTGGACTCACTCAGCACCTACTGTAGCTGTTTCCTCAAAGTTCCCAAATGTCCACTGAGTGGCCTTGCCTGATCCACAAGACTTGCCAGCAGCTTCTGAGGATGTGTCAGTTCCCCCACACCGGCTTCCTTACTGGTGCCATCTTAACCCCCGCCCACTTGTGTCCAGTCTCAGCAGACCAAACTCATCGTCTTGGAAGCTGCACTACATCGTTCCTTTGCTCAATACCTTCCGCAGCCCCTGAGCTGGCTCAGGAAAGCCAGAGTCCATTCACAGGCCATAAGGCCCCTGCTCTCTGACCTCACTTCCTGCTGCTCTTTTCCCCTTGATTCCACCAACAAGACTCCTGGACTTCTCTCCAACAGGAGCATGCTCCTGCCTCGGGGCCACTCAACTTTCTGTCCCTCTTGCTTGATACTCTTTCCCCAGAGGTCTGTCTTGGTTCCCTCTGTCACTCCATTCAGGGATCTGCTCAAAGCCCCTTTAACTGCCAGACCATCATTGACCACTGTACGTGTAGCAATGTCCTGACCTCCCTGCTGTTCCCTGGTCCCTATCCAAGTTTATTTTCCCTTAAAGCCCTTATTACTGACATAGTATACATTCACTTGCTTTTTATCTGTTTCCCACAACTAGAATGTTTACTCCAGGAGAGCATGGACTTTGTTTCATTTGCAGCCATGCTCACCCCAGGATCAGAGCATTATTAACTGGCTGAACAAATGACTACCTTCTGACCTCATGCTTCTACTTTTTAAATGCAGTGCCCACTATGTGCTGGTCTTTGGAGGACCTATAGAGCTTCTGGTTTAGAGAAGGACAGGCAGCCAACAAGAATCACCCAAGTAAGTGAGCATTTGTGCAAATGGAGATGTTATAGAAGTACAAGGTACAACGATAACATGTAGCTTGGGGACTTAACTCAGTTGGATTGAACAAAGAGGAGCTTTTTAGAGGGGGTGGCATTTAAGCTGAGCTCTGAAGGATGGAAGGAATGGACTAGGGGAAGAGCCTTTTGAACAGAAGGAATAACGTGTGCAAAGGCTCTGAGATAGGAAGGAATATCACACACTATAGAAATGTGGAGGGGAGGTTAGTGTGGAAGACTGTAGTGAGGGAAGGGGAGGGCAGGGTGGGACACAGGGCCTCTTTAAAGAGTCTGGAGTACATGCTCCAAGCAGCAGGAAGTCAGGAAGGGCTTTCAGTTGGGGCAGGGAGCTGGGAGACCAAATACCCTTCTGCCTCATTTCTTGCTCTAGCTGCTGAGCCTCAGTTTCTTGTGCTGACCTCACCCTTCTTCCCACCGGTGCATGGGCCCAGCCCCCTCTTGCTCAGCAGGATAACCCCCTCCCCACCAGCCTCCAGTTTGACCCACTCAGTTTGCTCTTTCCACCTGAACCAATGTCCTCATCTGGTTCCACACTATCAGTGGCTGTACCATTCTCCTGTGACAGGGTGGAGTAGCAGCACCACCACCATGCATTCCCCCAACTTTTACAGTCAATCTAGCTATAAAGTCTCTCTCTGATTGGTGACTTGTAGCTAGCAAATTACTCTAAAAGCCTCAGTTTCTGCTATGTTTAATTGAGTGGGTGATAATGCCCACTGCCTAGGGTTTTCAGGGCACACACACAAAAAAATGACTTCTGCACAGAGCTTAACACAAAGCTCAGCACAGAGTCCACCCTCAGAAAATGCTAGCTTCTTCCTAGAAATACCCTCCTTCTCCCATGGTCCCTCACAGCCATGCGTTCCTGCCTTTGCCTTGTGGTTCCCATTAGCTCAAATGTGAACTGAACCCCAACTCTCCTTCCTTGCAGCCTAAATACTTTCTTCTTCAGATGAGCCCCTTCATTTCTCCATTCAACAAGCATTTACTGTGCCCTTAGCACAGAAAGAAAAGGAAGACATTGTGTCTGCCCTTAAGAAGGTTGTAACCCAATTCAAGGCAAATCTACAGTGAGCAGGGGTTTCCTGCATAAGCTTTGGAATCAGGAATGTGCTCAGGTTCTGAATATACCACATTTAGCCAAAGTTTCCTCATGCATAAAATAGTATGGGAATAATTACAACAGCTGCTTCATAAGACTGATGTGTAGATTAAATGTGAAGATACATGCATGCTCTTTTTTCTATCTTTGAGGCTCTTCCCCCAGTCAATCTTTACTAAAATGCTTAGCACAGTGTTGTATATAATCAGCTCTCAGTAATACTTTTCTATCATAAAGGCAAATAATGAGTGAAGACCTCACTGCTTTAATCAGGTAATAGCTGGTTTATTTGCTTCTGCATCCCTCGCTAGAGAGGGCAGAAAATGGGTAACTATAATAAATGTCAGTTGAAAGACTACACAAGGGAGGTACTACCGCATAGGTCCACAGGTCCCTGAGGAGGAAAGGTATCATAGATACCATCTTTGAGGACCCAGTCTTACCCTCCCCGGAATCTCAGGGCATTTTACTACATTCTGATCATAATTACCTGTTTGCGGACCCCTCCCTCTCTAATGTGAGCTTTCTCCGACCCTGGAATTGTCTACAGGCTGCAGCAGGGCAAAGGTGGGCCCCTAATACCATAAAGAACCCCAACCCCTGCCCCTGCTGTGTCCTACTTCACCTTTTCTTGGACCGGTCCTTCCATACCCGCCCCGATTTGGGCTTCCCCTTCGGGATTACAGGAAGTTCCTTCTTCTCCTTCTTCAATTTCTTGCACGCCGGGTCCTGGCCTGAAAAGCTTTTTCGCTTCTTGTCTTCGAGGACTCCTATCACCGTCTTCCTGGCCAGAGGGTGCTTGCTGGGCTCGTCCGGACCCCGGGGGGAGCCTGGTACCTCCGGTGTCAGCTCCTGCAGTGGCTGTGAGGGCTCCGGACCCGGCGGTTGCTGACCGGGAGAAGGCTCTGGTGATCTTGGGCCCGGCTGCAGCTGATTTAGGGGAGCCTCTGGGGTACACTCCTCTTTACTCCAGGGCAACTCCGAGGCCAGTTCTCTCAAGTCCTCAGAGAACTTCGGTGACTTTTCACTTGGATTTGGCCGACGTCGGGGGGACGCAGGACTCGACTCTGGCCATCTTTGAGGAGACACCAGACTTAGATCTTGCTGACGGTGGGGGGACCTTGGGCCCGGCTCTGGCTCCCTCTCGGGGGACCCCAAGTCTGTACCCTGCTGCAGACTACCGGATCTCGGCCTTGTCTCCGGCAGACTTTGGAGGGACTCCGGGCCAGCTTGCAGCACACTTTGAGATGACCCGGGTTCCCGTGTTTCTTCTGGGTTTGACTCAAACTCCACAAGGGCCCGTTTCACCCGCGAAACTGGGGTGAGGCTCTCGCGGGATTCGGGCTCTAGGCCTTCCAGCCGTCGGCTGCGCCTCAGCGGTGTATCCATGGCACAGCCAGAAAGTTTCCAAACCCGAGCCCACGTGCAGCCTCCAGTTTCTGAGACAATTGGCGCTTTCCTATGACGTCAGTAACCGCCACCTCTGCGCCGGGGGCGTGGTACCAGGGCGGCCATGTTGGTGAGGAGCGGAGAGGCGGGGTTTTCGGCCCCTGCTGGGCTCTGTGGGCGCATGCGCAGTGCGTGTGCTCACTGTTAACTTGTTTGTTCCCGGAATTTGCTCTTGTCTTTCTTGTAAACACAGTTTTCTTGGGAAAGGAGAGCGTGCAGACAGAGGAAGGGGGTAATTTCCAGGAAGGTTCAGGGAGCCCGTAGGCAAAGCTGTGTGGAAACTTGTCCGCTAAGTCAGTCCCGTGTAGTTGGGGAGGCGCTTCATGTTCCCTGGGCCTCAGTTTCCTCATTTGCAGCACGTAAATGATTCTGTCGGAGCTTTCCTTGTTGCCTGAGTGAATGCTAGCTGGGGGTCCGAGAGGTGGGCAATACAAGGCTTTCCTGTGTGAAAGGCCCACACTCTTGCCTTGTCTTCTCCCCTGCTGTGCTCCAGCATACAATCTGTGTTTCTTCTTTTCGTTTTCAGCAGGTGTGAGTGAAGTCGAGGTGCCACTAAGCGACACCACCTTTGTTCTGTGGCCCCTCCCTAGCTGCATGCCCTCTTGCATCCCGCTTCTGCCCCGGTGCTAGAAACAGGTTGGGTCATCTGTGATTCCTTTTGGCCAAGACACTGAGTGGCTTTTGCCCCCATGTGTAAACCTGCCTCCCCTTCCTTTTCTCGGTATTTACCGGTAAATGTACTTTCTTACTAAGTGCTTTGGGGCCTCGCCAGTGGGCAGGCCTTCTGCATCTCCTAGTGTCTAGAGAAGGTTATCTCCAGGGCCCCTTTGCCTGAGACCCAGAGGAGTGGAGCTGGCTTGGATTTACTCACAGCACTCTTCTTTCTTAGGAAGAACTTCTTGGAGGTGGTCCAGTTGCATCCCAGTGTTATTCTTGGAACTTTTGGTCCTCAGGGATCCCAGGGCCACCTTCCGGCACCCCAGTGGCTTCCTTTAGAAACTTTTCTTTGGTTGGGGGCTTGTGAGAGGGCCTGGGAAGTTGTCCAGGGATACTCTGGCCTTAGAGTGCTCTTGTGTTCCCAAGCCAAGGAGAGCTCTTCAGGTGATAATAAACCCAGAAGAGGTGTTCTCTCTGCTGCCCACCATACAGAAATCCAATTACTGAGACAACGAAGATTGCCTAGGAAGAAAGGATTTATTGTGGAGGATTCATCAACTGGGAGAGAAGGGAAGTGCACTGCCTCCCTGACTGAGAAGCTACAGAACCTCCTTACAGGCACAAGACAACTACAAATCCTTATACCACCTATCTGTCCGGAGAAGACAAGTGACCCCCACCACAGATTGTGCCCAGGGACCTGCTGAGCAGCTTACTCCCTGGATCCTACTGGTGCAGAAGGCTGAAAGAATAACCAGGCTTTTTTCCTGGAGGTGAAATGAATAATGCATGAAGGGAGTGAACATCATCATTACCTGTTTGGGGTGGAGAGCAGGGCATGCAAGCACAGTAAGAAATCATGCAAATACATACATCTTATGATGAAAAGTGGTGGCTAAGACCCTTCTAGGGTGGGGATTTTAGCAGTACAATGAGCTAGGGGTTAATACTGGTTATTCAGCCACAGGCAGAATGTGCGGAGTAGGATGCTCATTGTGTCCTTGGGCATAATCTGTGGTGGGTATCACTTGTCTAAACAGATGGGTGGTGTAAGGTTTTGTAGTTATCTTGCGGCTGCAAGAAGGTTCCATAGTTTCTGGGGAAGAAACTTAAAAGGTAATGCATCAGTGCAACAGAAAGTTGCAAAGTTCAGGTCAGCAGATCTTACTGAGTCTGGTAAGCTCTTTGTCTCTGTTTTCTTTCTTTTGTGTTTCTTCATTTCTGCCTACTTTGGAACTGCGGTTGCTAAGTTACTGGTGATGAGGTAAAACTCACTATGGTACCACTAATTTAAAGTTACTTAGATTAGCCAGTTCTAGCTACTACATAAACATTGAAAACTCATTCAAAACATTAAGAGAACTATTAAAACATCCATTAAGCCGAGTGTGGTAGCTCATGTCTGTAATCCAAGCACTTGGGAGGCTGAAGCAGATGGATTGCCTGAGTTCACAGATTCGAGACCAGCCTGAACTAGAGTGAGGCCTCATCTCTAAAAATACCTGGGTGTTGTGGCGGATGCCTGTAGTCCCAGTACTAGGGAAGCTGAGGCAGGAGAATCACTTAAGCCCAGGAGTTTGAGGTTGCTGTGAGCTACGATGTAACAGCACTCTACCAAGGGTCTCAAAGTGAGACTCTGTCTCCAAAAAAAAAAAACCCAGTAAAACATCCATTAAAAATGTTTTCTTGCTTATGAAATTGGTTACACAGGGAGGCTTCCAGCTCCCAACTGTCAGAGGAGTGAGCTCCATTCAGTTCCTTAAATTTCCTTCTTCTGCCTGGGGACCCATAGAGTCTGACACTCAGAACCATGCTGGTTGTGTGTTACCAGGGTAACTAGAGTAGACCCTATGCTCCCTCTGCTTCAAGCCCCCTTGCTGGCCCTGTCCCTGAGTTCTTGTCCTCAGCTGGAGGGCTCACTTTCAAGTGCTGGTTGGGTCATATTCCATCCCTGCCTAAAATACTTCAAAGAGTGATCCTCAGGTTCTTGCCAGAGACAGAGAGAGAGAGAGAGAGAGAGAGAGAGATATTTTTCAGATGGAGGCTTTTGGGTGGCCCTCAAACGTTCCCAGTCCTGAATCCACCACTTCCATCTGGAAATGGAAGTGCTTAATCAACCACTGACCTCTGGTTCAGAACCCCGCACTCCCACCGAGCTCATTTTGTCATTGTTGTTATACATGGTGTGCAGGGGCCTAGAGAGACCCTGAAGTTTTCAGAGGATCCGGTGGCAGTTGCTGCTGGGTGCCTATTCCCTTACACGCCTTTGCTTTCTCCTGCAGACATCCAGCTTCCTTGCTTTCAGGTAGGAGGATGTTGAGGGGGTTCTCTGCAGTCTCCCAGAGACCCCCAGCAGGGTTGAGCCCCAGTTGCCCCCAAAGGCAACCTGGTCACTCATGCACCCTCATTTGGCTTCCTTCCTGTTTCACTTTTCCCATGCCCTTAAAGGTGCTTGCTGGGGTCAGTTTCTGACCACACTATTTGTACTTATCTTTATCTTAGAGGAACCCAGCCTAAAAAATGAGGGTAAGCAAGTGTTGGGGAAAACTTTGTTTCAAGCACTTTGCATATATGAACCCATTTACTACTCACAAACCCTGGAGGCAGGTGCTGTTGTTATTATTGTCATTTTACAGATGAACTGAGGCAGAAGGAACAAGGGACACTTGTTGAGGTTGCACAGCAAATAAGCCTTGGAGGCGTCTGATTCTGGAACCACAACTCAACAGTAAATCTCTCTGTTACCCTGGTAAGTACACCAAGGTACAGAAAGGCTGGGAGCCTTGCCCAGAGTCAGACAGTGACACATTGGGGATCTAGGATTGTGGTTTCAGAGGCGGTGGCAGCTACCTCTCATATGGGCCTTGTCTGCCCGTACCTCGGGCTGACCTTGATCTGTGTGCTGTGAGCTGCTGGGTGCCACATAGCACGTACTGTCGTGCGAAGCGTGCTGAGTTGGTGAGACCAGTTTATTTATGTAACCTGAGATCTGCTGACTGAAGGAAACCCAGCACCCACAGATGGATGGAAGATACGGACCAGTTGTTTTTCTCTGAGCTGTTGATCTTCCACTTAGCCAAGGGTGCTACAGAGAGAGAGTTCAGTAGTCGCCAGATGTCCAGCGCTTGTGTCCTCATGGCCCTCTACTCAACAGCAAGATCAGACCAAGGCAGGGTCACCAGAAGCACTAACTTGAGTATTTACTATGTGCTGGTCTCTCCTGAGTATTTTCTAGCCCCCTGGAGCGTCCATCCAGGAGGTGACTTCTGGCAGGAGCATGGCACTTGATAAGTGTTTGTTGAATGAGTGAATGGATCCCCCTAAGGACCCTGCAGGGTTGGGGTGATCATCCCTCTCTTAGAGACCAGGAAAGCCCAGAGAGGCTGTGATTTGGGGTCTGCTGACAGGAGGGGAGAGTGCAAGGCCAGGCCTGGATTTTCTGACTTTAAGCTCTTGCCCTCCCCACCCACAGGCCCAGGAAATGGGGCTTCCTCATTTTCCTTCACTGAGAAATGAGGCTTCCTCAATCTGGGGTGTCTTTGGCAGCTGGGATATTGCTGAGCATGGCAGAACTGAATTGAGGACTCAGATGGGGTGGGAGGCGTCATGTACCTCAGCTGCTCCTTACTGTACCACACAGATTCAAGCTGCTCTTTCTTTTGCTCTGAGGTCTCTTAAATATTTGAAGTCAGTTTTTTGGTAGCTTTTAATTTTCTTTTTCTTTCTTTCTTTCTTTTTTTTTTTCCATACAGAGTCTCATTATGTTGCCCTTGGTAGAGTGCTGTGGTGTCACAGCTCATAGCAACCTCTTGGGCTCAAGTGATTGTCTTGCCTCAGCCTCCCAAGTAGCTGGGACTACAGGCACCTGCCACAATATCCAGCTTTTTTTTTTTTTTTTTTAATAGTTGTTATTGTTGTTTGGCAGGCCGGGGCTGGGTTGGAACCCACCAGCCCCAGTGTATATGACCAGCGTCCTAACTGTTGAGCTACAGGTGCCAAACCTTAGTTTTCTTTTATTCAGGCCAGATTATCCCCTGTTTCCCAAGATGTCCCTTCCACAATGTGATAAATCTTGGGGAGAAACACTCCTCAGGCACCTAGGGTTGACTTCCCCACAGACAGGTGAGTGGATTTCCCGCTCTCTACTCCATGATCAGAGTCAGTGTGGTGAGGACCCCATTCCCTCCAGTGGCCACCCCATGGTCATTCGATCGAAACCCTCAGTATAGTTTGACTGTTGCCTGGCTTGGACGTAAGTTGTTGGCTTTTTGGATAGTTTAGGACTTTTCTTTCTTTTCTCCTTCCTTTTTAATTTTTTAAATAGAGACAGGGTCTCGCTTTGTCACCCAGGCTGGAGTGCAGTGGTGTGATCATAGCTCACTGCAGCCTGGGCTCAAGCAATCCTACCTTCTCAGCTTCCTGAGTAGCTGGGACCACAGGCATGCACCATCATGCCCAGCTAATTTTTAAAATTTTGGGTAGAGATGGGGGTCTTGCTGTGTTGCCCAAGGCTACACTTGAAATCCGGGCCTCAAGTGGTTCTCCTCAGCTTCCCAAAGTGCTGAGATTGCAGGTGTGAGCCAGTGCAGGAGTTTTCATCAGTCCCTGTTGTCTTTTATTTTGGCCTCTCTGGGGCCTAGCAACACTCCTTGGATACTCACTCATCCTTCCTCTTTTGTGAACAGCTGCTTCCAGGAACCTTGAATCAGGCTCTACTGAGAACATGTCAGTTCTTATTGGGAGTGCTTATCTTGGAGGCTCATCTTTGCTGTGTGCTCCCAATAGCTCACCAAGAGTTTCAGATCCTTGAGAGGAGGGGGGAGAGATCTCAGCAGAGGGCCAGGGGCATGGGAGAGGCTGGGAGTGGTACTTGGGTACCAAGTATGAGACTTCCCAGCTTTTCCCATAGGGCATTGTCAGTGTGGAGAGAAACTGCCTGGACTGGCAAGGGCTTCTTTTTGCAAAGCTCTCATGTACCTGGTGCTGCTCAGGGCTGGGGAGAGAAAAGCTTATCTCCTGATCCTCTCTCGGCATCTGCAGGTTCTGCTGAAACAGGAAGGGGTCAGACCTGCTCCTCCTGCGAGGGGGTTGAGCAGGCTCCCGCCAGCCCCCATGGCACGTTCTTCTGCCTCATGCAGGCCAAAGAAGGGGTGGGTATTGGCTGGGAAATGAACCAGGTGGGAGGTAGATGCCCCAAGAGGGGGGCAGGGTGTCTCACATCCTGCCTCACCCTTGCCCCAATGTTGCTATGGTTTATAATAGCAACGCTTTTCGAACTTTAGTGAGCAGCAGAGTCACTGAGCAGCATTAAAGAACTGAGATGATCCAGTAGCTTGGGGGGGGACATAAATTTGCATTTCTAACAAGCTTGCAGGTGCTGCTGCTGGTCCATGGAGTGGACTGCCCTTTGAGGAGCAGTGTCCTGCAGGAAGGAGCGAGCAAGACAAGAAGAGCTTGCTTCCTCTGCCTTCCATGGGGGCGGGGGCTGAGCTGACCATCATCCTATTGCTTATTTCATCACCAACTGTTCATTGCATGCTTACTCCAGGACAGGCACCAGAGGTACAACGGAACAGGACAGTGGCAGTCCTTGCCTAGATGGATATTATATTGTCCTGGGGCCACTGGTAATAAACACTTGAATCTGAAAACTATCCTTTGAGCAGGAATTATTTTCCCTGTTTTATAATGGAGAAAATAGCATTTTAGAGGGGTTATGCAACTTCTGGAAATTACCCAAATACTAAGTAGGACTTCAGGACTTCTCAACTGGAAATGTGGCCCCTGTCCCCTGGCTGTGAGCTATCTCAGCTTCATGGGGTTGTATTTAGATGGGCCTGGTCCTTGTGTATGGAAGGAGAGTTTGACAGGTGGGCAGGCAGACAGACATACTCACACCACACACATACAGACTTTCAGTTCCTAAGACCTAAGATTAGAGTTTCATAGGGAGTCACTTTCCCTTTCTTATTCTCTGTTTGCTAACCCCTGTTCTCTCATTTCCTTTAACATTTGGCTTCTCTATGGCCTTGGCCCTTCCACAGTGGTGTATCTGCTGAGTGATGCTTGGCCTTCCCAATCTACATGGCTGCCTCATCTCCATGGCAATTCTGGAGACATTGCCTTGGTGACCAAGGAGGGAACAAGTGATGAGTCCCCTTTCCTGAAGCTCAGACTGACTTGGTCCCTGGTTTCATCTTGCGAATCTGTTGACCCTGGGATGGGGGGGGGGGGATCTCGGAATCTCTGCTTTCTCTGCCCCTGATGCTCTGGTGATGGACTAAAACTTGCCCCAAATCTGACTCAGCTGGCTCCCATGACACCAGGTTGGTGAGATGGGCCTTCTCCTGAGTCAAACGTCTGGCTTCTGTGTTCTTCTCTTGGAGCTGCAAGAACATCCAGTCACTCAGGTTTAGGACGGACCTGGAGCATACTGGATCAGTGGGGCCCATTCTCCTGGATCTCAAAGGTCATGGCTTGCTCTCCCTTAGGAGAAACAAATGGATCCTTTCCCCAGAAGAGACCACTCACATGTTTACAGATGAAGGAAAAGTATGTCTTTTTTTTGGTATGTTTTAAGGTAAGTTTTAAGACGTAAACTTGATAAGCAATATTGATAAGAATGCATTTTATTGCAGTAAATTAAAATCCGTAAATATGTACCAATTCTACTTGTAATTTGAATGACTGAGATTCTGTCCAGAGTAGCTACCAAGTAGAGAGGCTTTGGCAAGTGTCTTCTCATTTAATTCTCTCGGTGCTCCCATGAGAATGTTAGTACTGCTGACTCGTCTTTTTTCTTTTTTTAGATTATAAAAACTTCTATGTTAACCAAGACTTTCTAACATGGAACAGATTTCTTGAATGAAATGGAAAATTTCCAGTACGTTGAAAGAAATCCACAAGTCACCACACATAAAACACCCAGCAGCAAAAACCAAAATAACATGTTTATAGAATCCCTGAAATAGCCCTGGTTTTATTCTCAGATGCTTCCTCCATCTACCAAGTGTATTCTGGATACAGTTCACACTCTGGCTTCTGGGTTACACTTGGCCGAGGCTGTGGCCCTCATCTGGCTGGGCTGTGGTGGCTGACTCTATTCAGGAAGTAAGGCAGTTACCAGCATGTTCAAACAGTATATTGAACATCCTTTAAATACCAAAGTGAGAAACAAGAAGGTGATGTGATAATGTTATCAGAAAGTTGTTAGAAAGTAAGGACAGGCTGGGTGCAGTGACTTACACCTGTAATCCTAGCACCTGGGAGGCCGAGGCAGGAGGATCACTAGAGCTCAGGAGTTGCAGACCAGCCTAAACAAGAGCGAGACCCTGTCTATACTCAAAATAGAAAAATTAGCTGGACCTAGTGGTGGGCGCCTATAGTCCATCTATTTGGGAGACTGAGGCAGGAGGATCACTTAAAAGTGAGGACAGCTGTTTAAAGCTTTAGGCTGAAAGGTGGCTTGCCAGCTTCTCTTCTTTGGCTTCTTGTGTCGTGGGCACTGGAACAGCAAGATGTGAGGTTCTGGTTCATGCATCATATAGTGGATCCACCCCTGACTCTGCTGAATGCCAAGGTTCTTCCATTCAGATTCAGACATCAAATGGGTTTTAGGGACCAGCTTGGCTGTGTCTTTGGGCAACGTGACATGCTGATACTTGAATTCCTTGTCTAAATAGTAAATTAGTTTGTGCAACATTATTGCTCTGCCTGGGGGCCTTCAGCCCCGCGATGCCAACCTCCAAACTCCTGCTGTCCTGTTTTTCAGAGGTAGAGAAATCTGTCCAGGGACAGGCAGCTGGTATGTGGCATACTGTGCTTCCAAACTGTGTGGAGTTTCACCCTCACCCCTCTCCCTTTTAGGCATTTGATCTAAGTCAAGAATAAGTCTTTTCTCTAGCCGAAGTCTAATTTTTCTATTCTTTGAAAATAAGCCAGGAATTTCAAATCATTAAGAGTGCTTTTTTTTGTTTAAAAGGTGTATCCAGGAAAAAAACAAAATAAGAGTGTCTTCCATGTAGGGCAGTGGCTGATCCATCAAAGGGTTATGCTGTGGCTCTTTTATTCTCTGCTCAAAAGAAAATATTACATAAAACTCAGATATTATCATCTTCTGCTTGAGCGGTTTTAGCTCTCTGCTTTCGAGATGATTCTGAGTAGATCTAGATACCCCCCATATTTGGAAATTAGGGACAAGAGGTCTAGGAGATTAGGAGATTGCGTTTCCAAGGTTGTGGTGTTTGTGGTATCATCTGTCCTTGTGCTCTCCTCGCCATGTGACCTGGACACCTTTTTCCTTCAGCAGTGGGCCTATGTCTCCCCTTACCCAACCCCCCGAACCTGGATGGATGTTTGTGATTGCTTTGGACAAAAACATTGCTGTATGACTTCCGAGGCTAGATTATAAGAATGCCATGAGCTTCCCCCTGTCTCTCACAGATGGGATACTTGCCCTTGGAACTCAGCTGCCATGTTGTAAGTCCAGATCATCCCATGTGGAGAGGCCAGTGAAGGTTCCAGCTGATAGCCCACATCACCTGCCAGGCATGAATGAAAATGCTTCCATATGATTGGAACTCACACTCATCAGGCCACTTCCAACTTGAGTCTTCCCAGAAAGGGTCCCAGAAATCAGGAGCAGAGATAATCTCTCCTTGCTATTCCCTGTCCCAGTTTTGGGCCACAAAATCCAGGAGCATAATAACATGTTGTTTTGCACTACTAATTTTTTTTTTTTTGAGACTGAGTCTCAAGCTGTCGCCCTTGGTAGAGTGCCAGCTCACAGCAACCTCAGACTCTTGGGCTTAAGTGATTTTCTTGCCTCAGCCTCACAAGTAGCTGAGACTACAGATGCCTGCCACAACACCCAGATATTTTTTTGTGCAGTTGTCATTGTTTCAGCTGGCCCGGGCTGGGATTGAACCCACTACCCTGGGCGTATGTGGCCTGTGCCCTACTCACTGAGCTACTGGTGCCGCCATGCACTGCTAAGCTTTGGGGTAATTTGTGACACAGTAGCAAGTGGTACAGAAAGGTGTACCAATTGCTAACAGTCAGGTGTCTATCTCAAGAGGGAATGTCTCGTGCCTTTTCTTGCACCCTTTTCTGGGGCAAATATCTTTGGTAGGGATGATGCCCAATGATGGCTCTGTTACTTCATCAGAGGCAGATTGGATGGGTGAGCTCTTTCTTGTTCTTTAGTCACAATATATTAATGTACTTTGCTTGCCTACTGATCATTTCCCACTGTACTGATGCTCCTCAACTTACAATGGGGCTATGTCCCAACAAATCTATTGTAAGTTGAAAGTGCCTTAAGTCAAAAATGTACTTAATACCCTAACAAACCCGTTGTAAAATCAAAAATTTATAAGTTGGCTCGGCGCCTGTGGCTCAAGCGGCTAAGGTGCCAGCCACATACACCTAAGGTGGTGGGTTCGAATCCCCAGCCTGGGCCCGCCAAACAACAATGATGGCTGCAACCAAAAAATGACTGGGCGTTGTGGCGGGCGCCTGTAGTCCCAGCTACTTGGGAGGCGGAGGCAGGAGACTCGCTTGAGCCCAGGAGTTGGAGGTTGCTGTGAGCTGTGATGCCACAGCACTCTGCCCAGGGGGATAGCTTGAGGCTCTGTCTCAAAAAAAAAATTTATAAGTTGAACAGTCATAAATTGAGGACTGCCTGTCCTTGGTACTTAGTAGTTGCTCACTAAATAGTTGTCAAATGAATGGAGATGAAACATCAAGTGGGTGCAATTTTTGACAATGATATTTTTGAGAGAATCTGGACCAGGACTAGTTCACTTTGTAGTAAAATTGGAGAGTAATAGAAGTCCCAATTTTTTTCTTTAAATGAAGGGAAAAATAGAATTGTTAAATGTGTGATGAGTGGTAGGGGGACTTCAAGTCTGTGCTAAGGAGTTTGCTCAAAGAATTGGTTTCTAGATATTTTCTAAAAGGATTTTGCATCAGTCACCAAGTAAGAATTGATTCAAGCAAACCTTTATTTTGTACACACACACAAAAAGATAAGACACAGATGCTGTCCTCAAGCTGGATTGAGTCCAACTGGAGAGAGAAGACTGAAGTCTGTGATAAAGACAGTGCAGTAAGGCAAGCCGGGCCCCGTGGTGAAAAGGACAGGGTTTTACCACCTAAGGCTCCTAAAGGTGGGAGAGTATCAAGGAGGACTTCCTGGAGGAGGCAGGTTAAAGGGGACTGAGGAGCAGCTTCCTGAGACACTGACCCAGAGGAACACAGAAATGCCACAGGGACTCATCAGAAATCTGCCGCCTGTGAACTCAGGTTTCTAACTGCAGAGTCTCATATAGCTAATGGAAAGGAAATTAGTGTCCCTTTTGCCAAAAATAAATAATACCCTTAAGTAGAAAGAAAGAGCCCCCCCCCCCCCAGTACCAGCCTGCCTCTGTGAGGGCATTTTTGTGATTTGTATTGCAAGCTGCTGCATCCGCTAGCCTGCCTGGCCCTGAGACCAGCTAGCTGATGGGCATGGCTTGGAAGCTCAGATTCTGAAACCAAATAATGCAATGCCAAGGACTGTTAACCAAGAAGGTATCCACAAGCCTTTAACAAGGCTCCTAAAAACTAGTCTGGTTGCAAAAGAAAACTACAGAGAGAATAACAGCCTCAGAAAAATAAACCACAAACACCTGAAAACAGGTGATAAGTATATTTAGAATAAGAAGTGTCATTGCTCCCACAGTGAATGATTTCTGGTGTTTATAAATGAGGGGGAGGGGATGGGCAATGCTCTCCAGTGGTGAGTGGGGGAAGAATAAGTAAAGGCATTTCCAAATAAATGAGAGTTCTATTGGTACTTGCACTACACAGTCTGACAACTGAGTTCATGAACTTGCCACGGCGTGATTATGTTGGCAGCACTGTACAAACAAACAACTTGGTACGGTTCATAACCATGGTATATCAGTGTCTCACAGCTGTGTTGTGTTGACGTGTGCTGGTGTCTTGCTGAGTAGTGCTCATTAATGTGATTATGTGTTTTTGTGTACCATCGTGAGAATGTCGGAGCTTGAATTAGAGCAATGAACAAACATTCATAAATTTCTTTTTAAATTTGGCAAGAGTGGAATAAAACCAGGAGCATATGATTCCAAGTTTATGGAGATAATGTCATGAAGAAAATGGCAGTGTACAAATGGCTTAAATATTTTTCTGAGGGGAGAGAAAATGTCACTGATGAAGAGAGATCAGGGGGGCCAGTAATGAGCAGAACTGACATTGTGTGTCAAAATTGTTGGCTGACTGTGAGAAGCAGAGCAGACCAAGTAAATGTTGATGTAGAAACAAGGAAAATCCTTTTTTTTTTGAGACAGAGTTTTATTCTGTTGTCCTGGGTAGATTGTGCCATGGTGTCACAGCTCACAGCAACCTCAAACTCTTGGGCTCGAGTGATCCTCTTGCCTCAGCCTCCCAAGTAGTTTGGACTACAGGTGACTGCAACAATGCCTGGGTTTTTTTTTTTTAGACAGAGTCTCACTATGTTACCCTCCATAGAGTGCTGTGATGTCATAGCTCACAGCAACTTCGAACTCTGGGCTTAAGCGATTCTCTTGCCTCAACCTCCCAAGTAGCTGGGACTACACATGTCTACCACAACACCCAGCTATTTTTTGGTTGTAGTTGTCATTGTTGTTTGGCAGGCCCAGGTTGGGCTCAAACCCACCAGCTCCAGTATATGTGGCTGGCACCCTAGCAGCTTGAGCTACAGGCACCGGGCCAATGCCTGGCTACTTTTAGAGATAGGGTATCTGCTATTGCTCAAGCTGGTCTTGAACTCCTTAACTCAAGCAAATCTACCTGCGTTGGCCTCCCAGAGTGCTAGGATTACAGGTGTGAGCCACTGCACCTGACCAGTTAAGAAAATCTTATCTGAAAATCTTGGCCTGAGATAGGTGTGTGCAAAAATGGTCCCGGAGGGGCTCACTGATGAACAAAAGCAAAGGAGAGTTGAAGTTTGCCATGACTTTTATGGAGAGGCAAGATGATGTTTTGGGCCATGTTATCACTGGTGATGCAACATGGTTGTACCAATACAACCCTGAAACAAAGCGTCAGAGTGTACAGTGGAAATCAGCCAATTCTCCTCAACCAAAAAAATTCCATCAGTCAAAATCAAGAGTCAACGTTGCTAGCTTTCTTGATATCCAAGGGATTATTTATTAAGAATTTGTACTAACTGGACAAGTTTACTGTTTGAAAGTGCTGAAAGGCTGCATGAACAGATGAAAATGACTTGCACTTTTGGTCAACAATTCATGGCTCTTCCATCATGATAATGCACCAGCTCAGCTCATATGGCACTGCCTGTGAGGGAGTTTTTGGCCATTAAACAAATAACTATGTTGGAACATCTTCCCTACTCACCTCATCTGGCCCCCACTGACTTTTTTCTTTACCTGAATAAAAAGAGTATATTCAAAGGAAGGCATTTTGATGACATTCAGAAAGGGTAATATGACGATGGCTTTGATGGCCATTTCAGAAAGAGTTCCAAAATTGTTTTTAAGGGTGGACTAGGTGCTGGCATCAGTACACGGCTTCTCAAGGGGAGTGCCTTGAAGGTGACCATAGTGATATTCAACAACAAGGTATGTAGCACTGTTTTTTAGGATGACTTTGCAAACTTAATTGTCAGACCTTGTACATCTCCATGTCAAATGC